TTGATTTATAAAAGATCATATTTAAAAATTATAAAACCTGGGATGATTTTTTTTGTAATGATATGATAAAAGAGTGATGTGGTATGGTTTATGGAAGTGATTTGTGAATGATTGATTTAGTTTTCACGTTGATTACCATTGATCAAATTTGCTATAATCATTTTGATTGGACAAATAATATTTAAAAGAAAACTATTGGCTAAATTTGATTGACATTTTTTGAGGATTATATATATAGATTACAGTTAATATTTTAATAAATTTACTAATAAATGCTTTTAATAATAAATATAAGTAATAAATTATTTTCAAATATTTAACGCCTACTATTTATTTAAATATATATTTTTTAATTTAACATCTTATTATTTATTCCAAAATGGATGTTGTTAAATATGGATTATTATTATTATAATGGTTATTATTTAGCAAAAATTTTTATATCTTACATTCATTTAATTAACAATTTTTATATCTTACATTCATTTAATTAACACCATTTTTTCATTTAATTGTTTAATAGATTTTTTTATATATATAAAGGATAAATTTATATATAGATTGGAAGTTAAAAATATAGTTAATTGTAGTTTAATATTTTTAAATACATTATATAATAAAACTTTTTTGTTTATTGCCTTGATCCCTGCAAACCTTTTCAGATGTAATAAATTAGATAACTTTTCTTCTCTTTTTTGCGTGTTTTTAGGAAAGGTATTTTTTTCTTATTTGATAAACAGTTTTGAGTTAAATCTTTAATAGTAGTATATTTTTGATATTATTACAAACTACTACTATTTATGATATAATATACCAATTAGAGGTGGTGCGACAATAATATATAAAATCTTAATTAATTTTTTTTATCATATCATATCACTCTGATTCTTATTTTATAGTTACAAAATGTTTCATTTCTAATATGGCATCCCTGCCTTGTAAATAACTTAAAGCTTCAATACATTTGTATAATTTCTTCTAAAGATTTTTAGTGTTTTTGTTTTATCAATTTATCTGGCATAATAAATTCTGATATAAGTTAATATAGTGAGTGTTATGGCTATGACTGCAAATTAACCAGCATCTATTATTTGTGTGGCTATGTAATTTAAGATTATTATTATAGCTGCTGAGAGCATATGATTGCATATTTTACAAGCAATAATGGTCAACTGTGTAGTTGTTTATATATCACTAAAAATGGTAGATAATCTTTTAGAAATTTAATATCTCACAATTCTTTTCTCAATTATTTATCTAGCTTCCATAATGTCATTTAAGAGGAAGCTCTAACCACCATAAAGTTTTATGATTTGGATTGGTTTATATTCTCTTCTCCAAGAATTGTTGATTTGGTTAGTCCTATAAATTATTCCTTATTAGTCCATTTTATAAAACATTGTCTAAAAATGGTAACAGAGTGTTATATTAGTTTCTTGACCTTTTGTCAAAGTAAGTTGCTAATTTTATAATATGCAGTTTTTAAAAACCATTATCAATTGAGGCATATGTATAAATTAATTAACCTTTTTTATCACTAGTAATTCTTTAGACGCAAAATTTATATCAGCAATTGAAGATATTTTATACTGTAATAAATAGATTTTGTATTAAAAAATAATATTTTTAGAAATGTCTTATATTGTTTTAATTATTTATATGCTAGTTTTTTGTATTCATAATATAATAAATGACAAAATATGAAATTCATAATAATTATTCATAGTTAGCAAATTTTTAAAAAGTATAATATATTAATATAAAACCCGGCCGAAGGCCGGCAAAACGGGCCGAAGTCCTGCAAATAGGGAGTATGGGAAGCGAAACCCCCCATAAAAAAAATTTTATTTGAGCCCCCTGAGATTGTAAAGGCAAGCGACGCCTCTGTTTTATATATTATATTTTAGCATGTAAATATACTTGGTTATAAAGGAGATTAAATTATTACATTTGAACTATTATTTTGAAGAACAAATTGTTTTTATCTTCTGTAATTTAGCTCATCTAAATATCTTATCTTCGTATGTATAACCTTATTTCCATTAATTATTTTGTATGATAAATTTCCATCTCTATGTGTTATGACTCCTTTGTTCTACATGTTTTCTAAAGTTTTATGCCAAATTTTATCACCTATCTCGATATTTCTATTTGACAATTTTTTCCGTTTTAACCAATTATTTTATTCTTAGAGTGGCTTAATTAAGTTCCATCTGATTCTAATTGTTCTCGAACTTTGTTGTCCAGAGTTTGATGACACATAATTTTTATAGTTGGAGAAATGTTTTAATCATTTTCTCAAATGAAGAATCATCAACCAGTGACAATGGTTGAAAGGTGTCACTAATAAATTCCACTATAATCTTGGCAGCTGTTTTTTTGTGATATTGCTGGCATGTTTAGATTATATAAATTTAATTTTGTATGTTTGGATTTGCAACCACTTTTTTACAGAGATTTAATTGTTTTTGCAAAGAATTCATTTATGTGTTTGGCAATAATAATTTTTTGAATTCACTATAATTTCTTTTTATAAAAGAAAAATATAGAATATCATTGATAAATATGTTGACATTAAGATTAACAAATATAAAAGTTTAAAAGAATTAATTAATTACTTCTAAATGCTCTTGAGGTTTGAACTACTAACCTTTAAAGACGATATGTTCTTCTTACATAAAGAGCATGTTGCAGTTATCATGGCTTAGTTACTTCCATCCGCTTCATATAAAACAAAATACTTACGTAACTTATGAAAAGTAAAAGATTCTCACTTATATATGTTACATCAATAGTAGGTGTATTATCTTCTAAATCAATAAACATTATTAAAACCTAGAATGAATTTATATTATATAAAAAATAAATAAAACTTATAGGCTGTCTCGATAAAATTTATGAAATATATAAAATGACGAAATATGATGTAAAGATATATTCTTTAAAAAAATAATATTTTGAATTAATTTAAAAAATTTTATTTTATTTATTGCTTTTTAATAAAAAATAAATTTTAAAAGGATCGAGATTGAATATTAAACAAAATGATCTTGATCACGATCCTCAATTTCAGACAGGATCATAAATCCGGAAAAGTTGCTAAATTTAGGATCGAATCCAGGATCGTCGATCTTTTGATCTCGATCCTATAACAACTCTGTGTGTACATTTTATTTAAAAAATAGCGTTAGAGAAGAAATATTAAAAAATAAATTTGAATATATTGATGGTAATTTAATAAAATTTTTAAAAAAATCTCCATTCATTTTTTAAAAGCAATAATAAAATTAAAACTATTATGTTGTTAAAAAAAATTAACTCTAATTTGATTTATTTTTAAAAAAGAAAATATTATTTTTATAACGTTAAAAAAATGAATATTATTTTTACTTTGTAATTTACTATTATCTTTAATATTTATATACGTTAAATAAAATATACAAGAAGGAAAGCTCATTTAATTTTGCTCATTTATTTAAATAAATAAAAGACAAAAATCCTGCTCAGGCGACGATTTTTTGTGTAATTTTTTACGATATAATTTTGGTGTAAATTTTAATTATGTTAAAAAATTTAAATATTGGGGAACCAAATATAAAATAGCTTATTTTTTAAAATAAATATAGAGAAAATTATAAGAATGAGGCTTATTTTTTTTAATAAAAAAAGAGAAAGAAATTTTTTTATATTATATGTTTGTCATTCTTTTCTTAAATAAAAAAATTCATTATTTTTAAAAGATTAATATATTTATAATAATTGCAATTGTTTTATTAACGATTTATTAAAAATATCATTTAGCTCAACTAATTTTGATATGAAGAAATGACTATTGAAAAGGGAAGATAAAACGAATTTTATAATACTCGGAAATAGAAATCAAACTTGCATTCGTAATTTTTCTATCGATAAATATGAAAAAATATGAGTGGCTAATTGTGTGTGAATTTTTTATTTCTCTATATTGTTGGCCATGCATATTATTCCCAAAAGAAAACATTTTTGAAGTGATAAAGGATTCTTGGATATGAATAATTTTTTGATAATGGTTTAACGGCATGAAAAATCAACCGCTCATTAATCATTTGGCAAAAATTGAATTGAAAATATGATGAATTCCATGCGTAAAATATCAATCGATATATTAATCAAAAATAAAGACGAATTCCGCTTATTTATAAATCTTAATCCTTTGTATGGCTTGACTAATAAAAGTAAAAAATGTTTTTCAATTACTTTCATAGTAATAAACTTGACGCTTCGTCACTGTCTCTATAGTTCAAATAAATAGGTTGCTCACGAATATAAGAGGGAAAAATTTTCTATATCAAAGAAAATCATGCACCAATGTTTTATGTTTTGATGAGAATAAAAATAAGACAAGAATTTTAAAAATGAATAAAACAAAGGGTTGTTAAACAATAAAACTCAAAATCGCGATTTATTTTTTGGAACATTTGGACATTATTTATTTTTTTCTCTACCCGCCCGAATCATTTCCTAAGCAGGCCCCTTAAATACGCCACTGCTTCTAGCTGTAAAACAGCATCTGGTTTAAAGTTGGGAGGAAAGATTTATACAGTAGAGGTCTCATGATAAAACTTACCGCACTTCCAGCTAATGAGTAACACTTCCTGGCGTTTTCGAGTTGAGAGGAGAAAAATTTAAGGGAGAGGAGTTTGACTTAGAGTTAGACACAGTTAATATTTTGGCCATCTAATATATAATATTAAAACATGAAAATGCGCTAACCTTATAATTATTTAATATATTGTTTGACCCTAGGATAATCTTAAAAAACTGGGCTAACCTATAAAATAGTCAAAATTAAACAATGGTTGAATATAAAAAATCTGGAACAAACAGTCAAATTTACTAGGCTAAACCTTAAAATGGGTACTCAATTTGGAAGTGATATGTGTGATAATAAGTTATAATTTGATTTGATGAGTAACACTTAGCACAAGCCAATTTTTATATTACTATCTTTATTCCTTCAATCCAAAAATTTACACATTTTTTTTTCCATGCGATCTTATAAACTACGTATAAACAATAAAGGCAAAAGGTGGAAAAAGGGAGAAAGCAGTGCATCTAATCCGGCTACAACTAAATTTCGTGAACAAGCTAAAAGGAAATCAATTTTATTAAATAAAAAAAGTATTAATACAATCAATATTCATCATTATATAATTTATATTTAGAAAATCCAGCTTTTACTAGGGAAAATTTAATAAAGCATGATGAAGGTTATATTGGAAAAAAATTGCCCGATAAAAATGCTGATAATTTTACTATCAAAACAAATTTGACAACATGGACAAATTGCTCTAATTTTACTTTTAACAAAATATTGGAAAGTAGTCTTATCAACTCTCAAATTCATAGAGAAGTTATATTATATTTATTATAATATAAATGCCTACTTTTAAAAATATTTTTATATTCCAATTTTTTTGAATACTAAAAAACTCAATTCAAAGAAACATATAAAATCTTGTTCACATGTACTCAAACAACATCAATAATTAATGATCTATTAACTTCTACAAAGAATATTAGCTTTCTATCTAAAGAAATACGAACAGATTTAAATCATATGGGCTCCTCCTGAAAATTCCAATTTAAAATAGTATATCTAAAATTGGACAGTCATTAGCTAATTTATTGAGTTTAAAATAAGTTATAGGATAAAAAATATGATCAAATGGAATTTCTTAATAGATAGAAATCTATATTACCCACAGGAAAAGCAGGAATCAGCTATATATTTTTTGCCAATTCAACAACTTATATCATTTTATAACACTTTTATTCTTATAACTTATATTTCATTTGACATTTAAAATAAGTATATGTAACAAGAATTTATGAAATCAGCATATCTCACATCACACCAGAATGTGGAATAATGAAAATAAGAATATTGAAAAAAATTAATGTGTCCACCAATAATTCTATCATGATGTGAAGCTACAACAGTGCAAATTTCAATATTAAATTTTTGGATTGATATAGGTGAAAATTTGTGATAATAAATCTTATTGAGCAAGATGCACAAGTCATAAAACACAAAATTAATTAATAAAAATAGACTAACATTATTTACAATAAAAACATGTAATGAAATTTTAAATGTTAGTTTATGAATCCACAATTTTTTTGAGCAAATTTTATTAGTTAATGATAACGATTTTATCATCTATAAAAGATTTTAGGGATTTTCATAAATCTGATTTCTTTGTTCATACAATATCTGAAAACATTAATATTGTTGGAAATACATGATAGCAAGTAAGATTAAGCAAAAGATTTTATTAAAATAAAATGAAGAATTAAATTGTGATCGATATATATGAAATTTCTACTTTATATAATATTATTTTAGAATATAAATTTGAATATAAAATAAAATGAAATAACTTAGTAAAAATCACAATATATTTTATAAAAGGTCATAAGTAGAAATCGCTATATATTTTATAAAAGGTTATTCAAAAATTATAATTATTTTAATTAATATTATAATTTATTATAATTATTTAATTTTATTTTAATTAATATTAAAATATTTTTTTTACATCTATAACAGATATGCAAGAAATAAACTTAAACATGCATAAACTGATTGGGCAAAATTTTATAGATTTTCCAAATATGGTAAGGAAATAAAAGGGAGTTCAAAAATTAATTAAAGATTACTAGCCAAATGCTGTTTTCTTTCATTTTATATCTCATCACCTGAATTTATTTATAAATAAACTGAACAAAGTTAATGAGATATTAATTCATGCCAATACAATCAAAGAAATGGATATTTAGAGATGACCTTAAATGAAGGCATTTGATCAGACATAATTATGTGAAATAAGATGGGCATAGTATAACTCCTGAGTGGTAAGATGGAAAAAAAATAAAGCTAAGAACTGTAGAGGATTATTACACATAGGGGTGTACCGATACCACTTTTGGGGGCCGATCCGCTGCCGATATTAAATTCATATCCGTCGATTACCGATTCGATATCATGCATTTTGTAAACATACTAATCGTTTTAATTTCTAATTTATAGATCTAGTGTCAAAATTTCTCCCTTTGAGCCTATTTTTAAAAACGGGCAACTCTAATTTACCCCGAAAAATATTACGGCCTCATTTTGCTCATAGATGGCCCAAGGATTTATACATTTATTAGCGAAATCTCGAGACTCAGACTATATTTTTCTGGATAAAATACTGAGTTAGCCTGGTTTAATCGGCTCACATGGAGCGATTTTGCACCACGACATACATCTACTCACTTATATACTTTTTAATATAACATATATAATTTACCTATATTATAACATAAGTTATTCAAAGTATATATACTTTGAAATCAGTTACAGTTTATATTCATGAATCTAAAAGTATATAAAATATGTTTATTGATAAATCACTTAGTTGTATAAATATTAATTTATTTATATAATAATTAATAAACAAAATATATTATGAAATTGAATATTTTTTAAATTATGACGCCATTTTATCTGATCACAAAATTTTATAATATCGGCTGATATCCTATATTTTAAAAAGGATGAAAACTCTGCCTGATCCGATAAAAATTATCGTTACATCCCTACTTACCTCTTTTTAAAACTTATATCTCACTCAAATTTCTTTAGTAAGCTTTGATATTTTTTAAATATCTATTAAGTTAAGTATTAATTATAAGTGTAATTTTTAAGATATTTAATATTAAATAAAAAATGAGTATTTTTCTAAAAGTGTCTAAAATAAAGCAAAATTGCCTTAAATATAAAAAATATTCAAAACGAGAAATAGTTTTAAAAAATTATTAGTATAAACTCGTTTTCAAATTGTGATATATATTACCTCCAAAAAAAGTTATATTAGTTATTCAACAAAGGTACATAAATGCAAAAACATAGTCTACCATAAGATTTGAGGCTACTGAAAAATGTCTATAGCAGGTATACCACTTAAGGGTTGTTTGAACTTTGAAATCAATTTTGTTTAATTATTTCCTACATATTTTTATTTTTTTTATAATATATTTAAAAAAATATGATACTGTTTATAAACTTTATAACGATTAAATGTTAAATTATTTACTAATTAATTCATAATACTATGTCTTTATATGTATACCCACCCTGGGGAAAACCCCACAATTTTCGATAATCAATAGCTGCTTAAATACTAGATTCTATTTATTTATAATAAAAATATTAAGATATTGACAATATTAGCTACAGTTACTGAAGTTGTTCAAAATGAAGGGGGAACTGAATCTGATTCAGAGTATTTGGCGATACTGATGACAACCTTAAATTCACTTAATGATCGTTTATCTATCATAGCCACTTCTTATTTGGTAAACACAGTGATCAAAAGGGTTTCTCCGGCTCTCCTGGTGTTTAAATTTTCGAGTTTTTGTACCATTCTACTGAAAACTTTGAGCGAATTTGACAATGGCAATAGTGATGATCAAAATTTCCAATCATGCTCCCTCTTTTACAATTCCATATTTGGGTCACTTTCCATTTTATTGAAATCACAATCAGGAGTTACATTGTTGGAATCATATACTCAAAAAGTTTGACATTTTAGTATTGCATTTTATACTGAGATCTCATAAAAATATTTGATAATAAAATTTTAATTAAATGATTTTTAGTTCAAAATGTCCGCCCTGGATTGGAACAGAAGTGTTCCTTCCAGAATATAGCGGTAATGACCGCCAATTTTTTAAATTTTGTTTTACTTCGCGTCCCCTTTAAAATTATTCTCATCGAATATGAATAATTAAGAAGAATATTTGTTGAATATAAAAGTCTTTTCAATTCATATTTTTCGTAAATATTTAAAATTATTCATTATTTAACATATTACTTGAGAAACTTTTTTTTAAAAATATTTATATCCTACATTTATTAATAATTTTAAAAAAAAATGTAATAGTTCCTTTTTTCATTTTAGAAAATATTTTCAAAAATCAAATTTTCGAATCGAATCTATTTGATAATACTATTATTTGATTCTAAATCCAAATCGAATACGAATTATGAAATTAATTTTTTATAGACCTATAAAATAAACCAATACCAAAAGAAGTATTTTAATGTTATTCATTTATTTAAAAAAAGCTTATTAATTCCTAATTCTAAATATGAATAATTTTTTTTTAAATATAATATATCTTGTAGATTACCCATTATATTAGTTTGCTTTATAATTTTTTATTGTTATTATATATATCATTCATATAAATTTTTGTAAAACGAATTACGAAAGTTTTAAGGCTCTACTAAAATAATTTGAATATTTTTAAAACACTATTTAAAAAAGAAAAGTATCCATGATATTGGGCTTATTCTTTTAAGTCTCTATCCAGTATTGATATTGGCTCAAATGGTAGTATCCGTGCATTGCATTTGATTTATGGAAATAAAAAAAATCGAAATCTTAAAAATGACATGCCTAACATATTTTTGAGAAATCACCACTTCTTCATTTATACTTTTAAATAATTTCTCGCGCTATCCAAAATGAATGATCTGTCTGATTCTGATAATAGTATGCAATGGGCGGATTGGATTTAAATATTTTAACCTACCAATTTATGGTTTTTTTTAAAAAAATTTTTACTCGCTCTTTTATTTATTTAAAATTTTATTAGCATATTCGCCCCATTTAAAAAATTAAAATATGCAATATTATGTAATAATATATGCATAATTCGTCCTGCTCATTCCCGTAAAAAATTAAAATTAGCTTGCCCGTTCTATTTTTTTTAAAGTATTTTTTAACCAATCCTCCCAGTTTTTAAACCCTCTCCCTGCTAACCTTTATATGAAAATGATAATAACAGAAGTTTTAAATGAAAATAATGTCCGCATAAAAACAATAGTATATCCGTAAATTCCGGAGATTATATTTCATAACAAGCTACCACCTCTATATTATATAGACTTTATTATTTGGTTTTAATTAATAATAAATCATTTTCAAAGTTTTTATCAAGGAGACATCCCCTCCTATCAGTAAAACTTTTTTAGTGACACTGAATAAGTTCAACCGGCTTGAAGGAATGGTAGAGATTGTAGTTAAAAAATAATTGTTAGAAAAATTATTAAAAATTGTGAAATTTTATTCTTTTGCTAAAAAATTTCAATATTTTGTTTGATAATTAAATTATTTTTTATTTAATATTTATTTAAGATAAAATATAAAATAACTCGAATTAATTAATTTAATCAAATAATAAATAATATTTAAAAGTTATAATAATAATTTATGAAAAAATTAGTTTACACAATTTTTATATTAAAATAAATTATAAAGTAAGATATAAGATAAAGTTTTAAATAACTCAGATTAATTAATTTAATCAAATAAGCAATTTGATTTTTTTTAATTATATAAAAATTAATATTTTTTAAAAAAAGTATCGTTTTCGATAACAATACATGGTGACGACTATACATTTGAAATTTTAAAAATATTGTCGATAACCATCTGTATATAAAATATGTTGGATAGTCGTGATTAAAATGTTATATTAAGTGGGCTTGAAGGACTAAAAAATAAATTGAGCATTTGGATTAAATATTTCTAGTGCCAGCATGGGATAAGAAAGAAAAATAGGCCCGCAGTTACCTCTATTCCAAATCGTTCAATTTCAAAAGATTTACTAAGGGTAATTTTTAAATGTTAGAAATTTCATTTTATCGAAATTGTATTCAATCATGTATAGAGTAACTATATGAATTTCGGACAATTCATTTAACTATTGCACTGCTTTTAAATTATAGATTATTATATGCCGATTTTTCATATAAATTAAATAATACATAAAAGTTCATGTCAAGATGGTCCATAATTCAAAGTATGTGTATTCTATACATGCAGGAATACATTTCCAAGCAAATCAGATTTTTCACTATTAAAAATCTTCAGTAAATGATTTTATAATTGAGCTATAGATTCCATATCTATCTCTTTACGACAATCATAATTGTATTGCTAAAAATTTCACATTTTATTTATAATTTATCAATCAAATATATCTTCTTTAAGGTATTCAATGTCCTGCTTCTTCACAGCTTAGATGAGCGACCAAGAGTGAGAAAATGTGCGCTTAAATCCATACTCAGGATATTTATAGGTCCAACACAAGAACCAGAAACAAGTCACGTGAAAAGCGAAGTTTACCCACACCAACCTCTTATGATAAATATTTTGGAATTTGTGGAAGCTAAAGCAAACGAGTGTACAAAAAAGTTTGTATACACCGGATCCGATAATGATTATAAATGTAACAAGTCCTTGATTTCTATGACTAATCATATTTTGTCACTTGGAAAGGAAGTTTTATGCGTGGTGGCTAAATACCACAAACTCCAAAATAATGATTATAATGACAATAATAAAAATGGCGGGTCCATCTGTGTTGTTAGTGCGCTTATTAAAAAAGTGTTTAATCTAGCATTTGCGATGTATAACGTGCCCTTGGTTCAAAATATGGTATAATATTTTAAATTTTATTTACATTAGAAAGCCTATTTTTTCCCTTATTTTTTTTACCTTGTGCAGGTCTCTAATTTTTATAATTCAATATTGTATCATAAATTAATAATAGAAAAGATTAATAGTTTGAATCTTAATTTTTGTTTAGAAATACAATTTCAAAGAAAAAAATTAATTTTATTTAACATAGAATTATAAAATCGGATTTATATTTTGAATTGCGTTTTATATTATATAAACATTGTTGTCCTCTACAGACTAGATTACTCTATGAAAAGGGGGCTGCCTAAAATGTTTCAATTATTATATTTCTCAATCGTTCAATATATGTTAAATTCTTTCTTTTTCACTCTAAACTAATCGTTGTTTTGAATTTCTCTTAACCCGCCCGCCCACTTATAATATTTTTTAATAATTTACCCGCCCGACCACCCATTTATCTATAAATTTTGTTTAACCGCCCGCCTAATGCTTTAAAAATATTTTAATGACAGGTTTGGCTCTTTTTTTTGTTTATTTTTTATATATTTTTAATGAAACAAATTATTTTTAATAAATTGAAATGTTTTGCTCATTTCGCCTAAAAATATAAAAAATTTACCTGCTCATTACTTTAAAAAAATTTTAACCCGCCCGCCACCCTCCCATTGTTGAAAATATTTTAGAAAACCTGACCACACCCGCCAGATGTATGGGCGAGCGGGGTAAACCCTACCCAATGCAGACTTCTACTCTAGACTATTAAAAATTCCCTTATATTTAAATATAGTGTTTAGAAATTATGATTTTCTTTTTCAAAATTATGTTAAACTAAGCTAACCAGCTTTGCAATAAAAATTAACAAGTCAACATTTTGTGAAAGATCTAGCTAACAAAGAGTTATAACGTTTTACTCGTTTGTCCTGCCATGAAGCATACCAGAATTGTATAATACTGTCGGCTGAGTCATATTTCGCCCTGAAAATAGCGCTATCTTTTGCAATTTTTAAGAAAAACAGTTAAAATAATAATTAATATTCTTACAATATGTTTTCAGACACTAAAATTGACCTGCTTAAACGTGATATCTCAACTTTTCGAAAACTCTTATATTATCGAACAGTCTCCAGAAAGTTCGGATATAACCCTCTCTTCAATATTCCCTCTTTTTGACAAGGAGTTCAATGCCAGAATTCTCTCAGCCCTTTACGAATTGTACCCGAATAACCCTAAGGATTCCGATGATATTACCACTTCTAAATCAACCTTCAGATTATTTAGTTTAGTATTATTACTTAACATAAAATGTTAGATAGAATGTAATATTTTCAAACTTTTAATAGGCACTCCAAATTCATATTTAATGCTTTTAACACCTCTTATTTGAAATTTTTAAACTAATTTTTTTACAAATTATGTTTCTCTTGACCCATAAATAAATAAATGTATATATAATATAGAAACACCCGATGGCAAAGTACTAATTACCTTATGGATCAAATGCTTGATTAAAGGGGTTATAAGCCTAACTGCCAAGGACTCTATTATCGCGAAAAGTCATTTTGCTCGTACTTTAACCATATCACTTCATTACTTACAAACTTTTGGAACAAACGCTAATATTAAAGATCAAATTTCTACACTTCTATGTCACTCCTTTTCCCTTATCCTAAAACAAAACACTAATTACTACCGTAATCAAAATGAATCATACGAAATTCTTAGTTTGAAAAATCTGGTCGATAATGCCGGACAAGGAATCTCTAAATTGATTAATATTCAGAATGGAGGTATTGGAAATAGCGAAAACAAATTTATTGATGATGTAGTTGATTACGCATTTGATTTGATCGCTGTTTATTTCGAGGTTTGTTGAATATTTCATTACCTAATTTCATCTACATGAGATATATTTTCTAAGCCATCAAAAGAATAATATCATAAATTGATTCATAGGAATAATTTTTCAAGTCAGATTAATTATTAACGAATGTAAATAAAATGTTACTTTCCCATTATTTATTTACGAAAATAACTTATTTTTTTTTTACTTAATTTCGGTTACTTATATTAATTTTATTAATTTACCCACCTTAACTAATATTTTGTGTATAATTATTATCCCGAACATGAATTCACCATCATACATAATAAAAATATCAGACAACCTCTTCTTACGTCAAATTCGCTTACCCAACATCGACATCTATTTCCATGCCTTTTTTTTCGACCCGAGAATCTGCCGATAAATTTCCTTCCCAAATCGCGAATCCAATCAAAGTTTTGGCACGTCTTAAAGACGAAATCGACAATACGGATAAAAATAATAGTAATTTGAGATCAAAGATAGATAAAGCTTTAATTGCTGCAATCAAGTCATACGGCCCTCAAAGAATTTTAAACGTGATCCCTCTAAACGTAGACCCAGATGGTATTCATTTTGACCTGAGTCGAAGCTGGTTGATTCCAATGTTTAGAGATGCTCTGCGGTTACCAATAATTACAGTTGAAAAGGATATAAATACTTTGGACAAATTGGAAATTGGATGGGACACTTTCACTCTTTTCCAGACATATTTTATGCCTCTGATTTCACGATTAGGCGAAAAAGGTTTGTATTATATCTTATAATTTAGAGGCCTTTCTTGTTTAATCAAATTATGGACAGAGATCCGAACCGAAATATTGATCCAGATTAGTGTAAACGACTCGATTTTTTAAAAAGATTAATCCAAGATTTTAGCCAAAACTATTACGCAAACCGAGATTTTCCTCATACGTAGATTAGAGAAATCTCGAGGCATACTAATATTATTTTGGCTATGATCTTAATTTTAAATTTACGAAATCAAGCCTTCAATACTAATTCAGATAATAGCGATTCAGGTTCTATCATAAAAATAATGAAATCAGTTCAGTTTATACTCTTTAGAAATCAAACTTTAAAATAATTAGTAGGATATCATAGGGTTCACAGATAAAAGTTCTGTTCAGTTTCAAGTTCGGTATTATTGGTTTATAGGCTTGGTTTGGATTTTAATATTTTATGCGAAGATACTATAAATTATTGATAATAAATTTAAATTTAACAAAATATCGTATATCGGGTATTCAACGAATCGAATTCTATGAAATTACTGTAATTTTATTTTGAATTGGTAAATTTTGAATACGAATGAATTTTATCTACCCTGATATATTTTCTCTTTTATCATGCAGCATCCGAGCATGCAATAAATAATAATCGTGATCTCAGTAAAAAAATGAAGTATCTAGCCGGTCAAATCTGGACACTCTTACCCTCTTTTTCATCTTGCGCTAATAAGTCCGATTTAAAACTTGACGCCTCTACTTTTTTCTATAATCTTATAAAGACTCTTCCATCCGATATTGAAGAAATAAATGTAATTATTTTAAAGTCGTTAAGAAACTTGATCCTTAGAAATCACAATTTTGGAATAATCCGTTACGATATTAATGATGCATTCTTTAAATCCTTGATTCCTGCCCTTTTCAATCTGTATATAAGGTATTCTATATCCACTACCAATAATCACAAACTCTCGACAGCCGAAACCTTGAAGGTTAGTATTAGACTCTTTTTAATATAATAATAGAAATAGCTTATTTTGACTTATTCTTGGACTGTTATTTTAATTATTGAAGATCAACGGTCCTAGACCGAGACTAATATTTTTTGAGAACCACGGTCAGGACCGGTCTTTTATTAATATTTAACATTCAGATAAAATAATTTTTTATGCATTTTTTTTTGTTATTTTTCTAGAGGAGTGTTAGTTTTGGTGAATTTTTATTTTGCAATATGAAAACCACAAGTTTGTCTAAGCATTTTATTTATAGTCCCAATAAACAATTAAGTTAGATAAAAACAAAAATATTTTTAAAATAAGAAAAAGTTAAAAGGGCTGGTCCTGGATCGGTCTTTTTACTACGGTCTGGAATGATCTTTATTTAGATAAAGCTACAAGGCTTAAAATGTTTTTAGATACTTTATCTACTCTGTTATAATGGTGTAATTTCTAAGTAACCTATAATATACCTTTTTTAAAGTTAAACCTAAATAATAATCATTTATTTTAGAAAACACTAACGTTAAAAAAAACACAAATTCTATTTATTCTATTTTTATTTAAGGTTTGTTTAAGCTGTTGTCCGAAAATATATATCCAAGTTTTTTTGCAAAAATTGCGCGAAAAATTAAGATTGGCCGTAACCGACGAAGAAACTTGTAAGATTCCTTCATGGTTAGATATAGCCTTCTTATTAATTCCTTATCTTGATGTTGATCCTGAAAGTAACGAAAAAAGTAAGATTTAACATTTTATATTTTTTTCAACGGGCTTTTTTGGCTGTAGGTCGAATCCAAATGTTTTAGGGGGTAGATAATCCTGTATTTTTTAAAAGAAATATTATTTATTTTTTTTTAAGAATTTTTAAATTATATCATATTTAAATATAAAAAAAAATATTTTTTTTAAAGATACAAATATAGGAAATGCAAACACGATTGAAAATAATGGAGATATTAAACAGTCATTGGATTTTATATATAATTATATTTTGGATAAAATTCTAAGGAACAATAACGATGAAACCTATTATTGTATAATGAGGCGGGATATAATTTTAGCTAAAACCATTCAAAAGAAAGCTTACAAGTTTCATTTTGTTATAGAAAACATTAGTATAGTATCGTTTCAAAAAAATCAATCGCCTCGATTTTTTATAAATTAATTTTTTTAACGATTTTATTTACTAAAACTTTAGAGTGTCAGACAAAGACTTGGATTAACCAAAATTTATTTTTTTATACCTAAAATACCAAATTACACTTGTAATTACACTTATTGGATAAAAAAAACTTAAATTACCTGATTTTATTTTCTATTAAAATTTTTGTGCAATTTCGAATATAATTAAATTATTTTTTTAAAAAATGAGTGGAGATACAAAATTTTATATAAATAATAAACAATTTTTTATTACTTCCCCAAAACTTAATTTTTAAACCTATTATGCAACACATTCAAAATTATTTCCTCTTTTTTTTATTATTAAAAACAAGATAAGGAATTTATATTTGGTTCCCCTATGTTTATATTTTTAATGTCATATAGAAATGACACAAAAAACATTTATTTTATTGGCGATGTTTGCTTTTATTTATTTTTTTAAAAAAAAGCAATATTCATTTTTCCTTTTGGTATTTTTTTTAAAAATAGTATTCATTCTTTTAACTTAATATAAATGGTAAATATTGCATAATATGTTTAAATGTGATAATTATATTAAATAATGTTATAAGAAAATTTACAAGGAATGCAATTATTTTCTTACTTCTTTGGGCGCTTCGTCACTCATTCATTTATCATAAAATATAATTTATTTAAAATGTTTTGTTTAATTTTCATTCTTATTTCCCTATCTATACTAATATATTTTTTTAATAAACTTTTATGAATAGCTTTAAAGAAATTATATTTGTATATTTATATAGATTCAATATATATTTTACTTACCCATTTATTTTATCATATTTTATAGAGTTCTTCATGCCCTCTTATCCTTCCCAGTTTCATCCCGACTTATCAACAAGACCTCCCTTTACCATTCCTTAACCCTGGCCCGTTCTTGCACATACCCTCCCAGCCTACCTTATAGATTCTCATGCTTTACTTCTTTAATCTCTTTAAACCTTCATACAACGGTGACTCTTTTAGAAGCCGTACGTGTAGTTTATGGTTCTCAAGCTGCTAAACGTAACGCGCTTACCTATATAAGCACTTTTTTGAGTTTCGCCGTTTCTCCTTGGAACGCCGCCAAAAAGACGGACTTGGATAATGACATCTTCGAGAATGTTGGTGATTTTTTGAAAAGAACTCTAGTTAGACCTCTCCAAACGTTTATGTCTGAAAAGAACGACAAAAATAGCGAGGCTGATAAAAATAATATGTTTGTAGATATGGAAGGTGATGAAGACATATGTGAAAATGATGATTGTGAGTGGGAGACTAATAGTGAAGGTGATGTGGAAATAGAACAAGCAGGTTTGTTATAATAGATTTTTCCTAAGTTTCACTTAAAATATTTAAACATATTATTTTAAAATAGTTTTATAAATAAATGTTTGTTTATATCTCTAAAACTATTAAATGTATTCTTATCTCTTCTTGATATGATTTTAAAAAGAAGAAACTAGTGAAATACAATCGATGGATTCTATCGCTACTTCAAATATCAATATTTTTGCAATAAAAAATGCACAAGAAGCAGTGGCTCGTATAATTACCCTCTCATATTTTTATAATAAATCAGATAACTTCGAAGAAAGCCATATGCGTAAATTTTATAAAAACTTTCTTATTTTTATCATTTAATAAAAAAATTTTTGGAGGAATTTACGTAAATTTTGGATTAACCATAAATATTTATTATTATATTTTAAAGGGTATTTCAATGCTATGTTAAATAATCGTTTGCTATGTTTTTTAAATTAAAAAAAATAATGATCTGTTGTGTTAATTAACACATGTTGTTAAATTTCGAAAACTTCTAAAATTTTGTATCCCGTAAAATATCAGATAAATTACGATGCCCAATATATTTTTCTTGCTGATACCATAATTCAAAAAAAGTTTAAAAAAAAATAAATATAAAAATTGACCCAGTTTTATTTCCACAAAAATATTTTTGAAGTTTGAATCATAATTTAATATTTTGTAAATCTTATTTCCTACTCCACAAATATTTTAACCTAGTAATTTTACCCTAACTTCGAAGAGGTTAATTTCAGAAAAAGGTTGGCCTCTTGGGAACCCAACCTAGTGGTGCTGTGTCTCGAGATCTTTATCCCTCTAAGCCAAACTTATTATTACATAAATTATTTGTATATAATGATAAAATCAAAAACGATTTTAGAATATTTATTTATTAGGCTTGGAAAATAATTAATTATCTAGCTAAAAATTATAAAATAAGTAATACAATTTAAAAAATTTAATAACATAAACAAAATATGGTATTTTTAATAAAAAACCAGAATTTAATTTGTTCTATTTTTTTAACAGGTTTATCAGAAAGGATGAAATGTGATATACTAAACGCCGTTATAAGCTTTTTAAGTTCTTCGCATAAACTTATAGTCAAACATTCTTTAGAATTCTTATACACCTGCATAAAACATACGCCAAAATCATTGATATTAAAATATAGTGGAATTATCGTAATATTTATCATATTATATTTCACACTATGTTAATTGTTATAGGTTTCCAATTATTCCAAGATACCCAAAAATTTCAAAAGAGTTTTCCACTTCAAACTTAAATTGATAATGGTTAAACTTTTAAAAAAAACAGAGTAATTATTGTTATTTTTATATATTATCTATTAAATTATTTGCTTTTATGAATAATTCTAAAATTTTCTTTAATATCATATAGAAAAAAAATATTTATATTATATCTGTGAGTGGCATAAATTATATATATTTTTTAAACTTGATTTTGATTTAACTATCTAAGTTCCGCCTTATTAGCTACCTTCGTGCCTCTGGAGTTTAAACCAACGTTTGAAAAGATTCGCAAAATGGAGAAAAGAAGAGCGCACAAATTAGCTGAAGTCCCGAAAGTCAATGGAATACTGAAAAAATCTAATAGTCATATAAATGCCGAAATTGATGAATTAAGTTACGATCAACCTCGACAAAAAACTAGGTTTGACTTTTTTTATTATAAGAAGAAAAAAAAATTAAAGTAAATTGAATAGAAAATTTATTTTATTTTAAATAGGACAATAACCTTTATATCTTTTTAAATATAACACATATATAATTTTCAGAAATTGCCTAAGTATCGAAGAAAATATGATTGGCGATAAAATATTTGATTTACTTGACCCTGATGATGCTGAAAATTATATCGGTTCGTTTTATATAATATTATAACCATCAATTTTTTAAAAATAAATTCCAATATTATAGTGCATAGAAATCATAAGAAATTGAATGAAATAAGCAGTTTGCCTAAGGAGGCGACTAAAGAATTTCCTGTATCGAAAGATGGGAGGATGATCATTGGTTTAAAAGACATTAACAAAAAAAATAAAGATATTAGCCAATCATGTAAATCGCCAAATGAAGACGAAAGTGATATAGAAAAGGTTTTTTTGCCACCGCTTCAAACTTTATGCTTTTAAATTTAACAAGTTTTTAACCTATGTTATTTAAATTAAATTGATATTTATGGCCATTATATTTTCCTATTATTCAATATAAATTAACCTTCTTATCTGCATTCAGATTGACGAGTCCGACATGGTCGCATCAAAGAGAAATATGAAAAGAATTAAGTTTACCTCAAATTCGCTTCATTCGAATAGCAATAATTTTTCAAAAAACAAAAGAATTAAAATACAACAAAATAAAAAGAACGATTTAAAAATGCAACCTTATTCGTATTTACCTCTCGATAGAAACTGTTTAAACAGAAGAAAACAAGCGAAATCTGAGACTAAACTTAAGGGAATCGTAGGATCCGCTAAAAAAGGTGCCCTAGCCGGCAAAAAGTGCAAAAATAGAAAATTAAAATTTTGAATCCGAAGAATATGTTGTTTATTAAAATTTATGAGAATAAAAATTTTGCAAAATATATTTTAGAATTTCTTATATTAAAATCTGGATAGTTGTAGAGAGTAAAAATGGCATCCTGGCTACCTCTGCCGTTATTATAATTTCATAATTAAATGAAGAAATTGATTAAAAAATTTTCTTAAATTCACATTACCATCTACATCAATAAGCTCGACTAACAATTTTTTCTTTTTTCAAATCAAAGATCACAAATTTATTATGAAAGCTTTTATGAGATAAAACTATATATACCAAATTGATAACTCTTGTAAATAATGGAGGCTATGAAAAATTCTTTTAACGACAAATTTTACAATTATTGTATTAAACTCATTAAAAGCTTTACTAGAGAGTCGGAATTTATTAATAATTTTATTAATAAAAATCTTTTTATAAATTGATATGTACATTAAATTTATATCAGATCAGTAAACTTTAATTTTTGAATAAGCTGTCCAATTAGTAATATCAATTAAAATTCAAAATATGTTATAAAAGCCGATCCTTTTTTTAATATAAAAATTGCCTGATATTGTTACTATTTTAATTTTAAGCTTTTGGATTTTTAAAAATGTATCAGAATATTTCTTTACTATCTTTTCTAATAAAATAAGTATTTCAAAGCGTCATACTATTTTGATTCTAAAATATTCTATTCTTAAATGGATTTTGAATCTATTACTTTAAATAATATATAATTCTATTTAAATTAGGATTAACTCTATAAATAATCATAATTCATAAATTTTTTATATAAAATCAAATTCAAAATATTTTTATTTGTCTCTTATAAAATATAATAAATAAATAGACAAATACGTTTTCATTATAAAAATAGTGGTGCTGGGGGATAAAGTATAATTAATTAGGCAATTATTTTAAAAAATTAAATCGATTTTCAAATGATATCGGGCTGATAAGATTTTTCTCGAAAATAACCGATCAGATTTGTCGGACAACCGTAATAAAAATGAACATAGATAAAAAATGATAATTTTTTAGTATTGGCGATAAATAAGTAGAAAATGCCAGCAAAATAAATATTTTGGAAAAAATAATTCATTTTTAGTCCGGTAAAATCATCGAATTTTTTTAATTAGTTCGTATTGGGAAATAGAATCCAGGAGCCAATCTATGTCTAATATTAATATTTCAATAATTAATTTATTCGAATTTTTGACGAAATAATCCTTTGCTTGAATGATTTTACAGGGATTGATTTTGTAATATTTCAAATTCGTATCGAATCTATGATTTTTGACATCACTACCCTCATAAGTGTTGTTAGCTATTAATTGGTCGAAAGAATTAATATCGTAATAATAAAAGCCTTTTAAGTAAGTCAGAATATTGCACTCACCTTCATTGATATTTGTATCTGCTCTATCCTTGTTATCTTTACTGCTGATTGGTAGGAGTATAATCGTTTTACAATTATGAAAGATTTCCGAAAGTGTCGAGTTGGGATTAATTTGGTTTGAATTTAGTTCCGCGGACGACGATACATCCTTGACCTCGTTCTTGTATGTAAAAGAGCGACGACTAGGGTCTCTGATAATTATTTGACCTTGGCCTAATTTTATTAGGGTCAAAATTTCTGATTTGCTAGGATTGGGGTGCTCAAATTGTCCCTTTAAATAAATTTTTAGTCCATGAAATAATCCTAGAATCTGTTTTAATATATAATATAAATATCTTATAAAATTATAATTACTTTATTTTCCTTGGCGATTCTACCTTTAATAGGTGCTAATTTAGTAGAAAAATTTCTATCCTTCGTAATGCAGCCCTCAATTTCATATGGAATCTCACCCATCAAATTTTGATTTTTAATACATTCATGTAACCAGATATCACTGACAATCCATTTCCCACTCAAAACGCACATTAAATATTTTAAGGTCCTTTTGGTAGTTTTAGCACATATTTGAGTTTGATTATCATTATTATTGGATATGTTACTATTAAAGGTTACTAAATGAGACACTGAAGGATCAAATTTTTCTACAAATTTACATTTCGAAAAAATTTGAGAAAAATCATCAGTTATTAAAGGGGATTTTAAGGAATTATCACTTGAAGCTAATACATTATTTTTGTTGCTAAAATCAGTAAATTTTTTATATCCAGATGTAAGTATAAACAATTTGTGATTATTATTTTGTTTTATTTCAGGATCGAGAGATACTAGACTAATATTTTCTTTAAAGTTTTCTTGACAAATCGATTGATTTTGTTTAAAGTCATTTAATAAATCTTTAGCTTCTTCAGAGTATGCATAATCATATGGAGTCAATCCACTATCGTTTCTGATAAATAAGTATTTTTTAGACGATTGTAATCATGATTGAAAGTATAAAATATTTTTTTCGAATATAAACAAAATTACTTTTCAATTAAATAAGATATAACGTTAGGGGAAATACTTTATATGGATAATATATCCTTACAAGTTAGGATGTTATATATATTAATATAAAATTTGTATAAATCTTATTTGTTTATATAAGACGTTCATGTCAACTCCTTTGGGCAACGTACTAGTAGAATATTATTTTTTTAAAGCTAAAAGATATGCCAAATATCGAGCTTTGCAAAAGGCTAGTATTTATTCGAGATAACCAGTATTTTCTTTTCATTATAATTAAGTACATTGCGGATAACATATTTAATTAATAATTACTTAGTTTTAATTACAACTATCATCAAAAGCTCAATTTATTTCAAGATCTAGTGTGGCCGTATTAGCCTAACATGAAGAGTAATATTCGAACTTATATGTTTGATGGTAAAAGTTCCAAACTCGATCTAATCGTAATATAATAATGTCGACAATTAAATTTAAACATTTTGATTTAAAATAAAAATTAATTTCTCAAATATACCATCGTCTCCGTCGGTTTGGTGTATTAATACAAAGAAAAAAGATGTTCAATAGGAGCAGAAGATAGCAGATTTGTATTAAGCCGAATATGGTAAATTCCATATCAAATTGACAAAAAAAGTCGATTCTCAACCCGACCCCCTTCTATTTTTCTTAAATTTTGCATACTGGGAGTAAATACTAAAACTAAGAAAATATAAAATTTTACCTCCCAACACTGCTTACCCGCTAATATATGGGCGTTTAAAGCGCGGAAAAATGGTAAATTTTTGACAAAATAATGCACTTCATTTACTTTCAAATATCTCGATATATAATTTAAATTTTATTATGTAGCTTAATAGTTCTTTAATATGACATAAAAATAAATATAATAGAAATCTGATTAATGTCGAAAACCGGAAATAGCCATAGAATTTTTTTTCTTTAGATAGATATCATACTGCTTTTGTACAAAATACTAGACTAGGATGAACATGGCTTTAGGAGTTATGACTCTTCATATGGCTAAAATGAACAAATTTAACATAAATATTGTTGTATTATTGCGTTACAAAAAAATGCATTATTCAAATTTAAATAAATTCAAACAAAAATAATGTTTTATTAAAATTATTAAGTTATTATTTAGATCCCAGTCTATGTGATAATTGTGGATTTTTCATACTTTAAGAGTTTTTTTAACAATTCGGATTTAACTTTTTTATTTTTTCGCCTTAATTTTCTTAACTTTTTATTTTTTACAGATAATTTTCTTAATTTTTAATTTTTTTTATTTTTAACTTTTTTCCTTTTATGTCAATTTATATAGATAATAAAGAATTTAGTATTTAATTCAATTCATTTTAAGGCCCCAAAAGTCTCAACTACAACAAATATTATCATATTTAAATTTCATGAATAATTATGAAATAATGTTTATTTAAAAATTATGTTTAAATGATAAACCCTTACTCTTACTTTTTTTTTATCCTTAACAAAATTTTTGAGAGGTGGCTGGTATAATGTGCTTTGTTTAACACTTTAGTTAAATTTTGTCTCGAAATTACCTGACAAAATAATTCTAAGCATATTTATAACTTTATTTGCCTCAAATTGCATAATTAGTAATTACATATAATACAATCAAAAATTCATAATTATATTTAAAATATATTATATATTAAATCAAAAGAATTGAATAAATTTTGACTTTCATTTTGTTTTCGTTGGAACTTTTGTGTTCCAGAAATTTTCTTTGCTCTCAAAAACCGGCTTTACGATAATTTTCTTAATATATTCATTATTAATCACAAATATATAATTTACCCCATGAATATTATTTCTTACATAGTTAAATAAATTCATTGTTGTCAATATGTGATGTTCATATGGGCGTTGCAAGCTTGCTCGAGCTGCCAACCGTTTAGTAACGCCCACCAAACTGTAACAGGGACTTATATCATGTGCAGTTACAAAAAATGTCACTCAACCTTTATCCCAAAATCATTTTCATGATTGTAGAGATTAATAAAGTCTTTTTATTTTTATATTGGGTATCAGAAAAATAATAAATTTTGGCCACTCTATCAAATCTTTTTTTAAAAATAGGATCAAGTTTGTTTTAAATAAATAAAATGCACATGTGTTGTGCTAACAATCTGATATAACCACTAAATTTACATGTTTTATTGTAATAAATCATTAAAGGGTGGATAGTGGCCTGATTATTGGTCAAATAAATCCTTGTGCATAATCCTGCATTACAAATACATAGTTTTCTGAAAATTCATCAATAACTAAGAATTCGCCAACATTTAAATTTAAAGTTGCGAATTAATGATTATCGTAGCTATAAAGAAATAAGGAATCATATTGTTTAATTTTTCATGGGCAAAATTCATTGTTGAATTTTAATTTTGGTAGATTATTAATATTTAAAATAATTTTGTCAAGTTATTTCGAGACAAAATTTAACTAAAGTGTTAAATAAAACACATTATCCCAGCCACCTCTCAAATGTTAGAGATAAAAAATTTTTTAGAAATTTATGTTAAATTTGATCAATTTTAGCCATATAAAGAGTGATAACTCCTAGAGCCATGTTCATCCCAGTCTAGGATTTTGTGTAAATATAAAGCAATGTGATATCCATCTA